TAACTGCTCAAGGTGGCTGGAGTGACACGCCCCCCCTTGCCTATGAGCTTGGTGGGGCAGTTCTGGGCCTGGCTGTGCGAGTGGACGGCCACCGACCCATCGGGGCCAGGGCACGCCGCATCCCAGAGCCTGGGCTGTGGCTGGCAGTGGGGCCTCGGCAGGACAAGATGACCATGAAGATAGTGTGCTGGAACCTAGATGACCTGCAGGATTACTGCCAGCCACATGCTCCAGGTCAGGGTACTTGTGACATCTGCAGGTGGGGATGGCACATGTGGCCAGCTGAGGGATGGGGGCAGAACCTTGGAGACCCTGCAGGCCACGGAGGCCTGGCCCGAGGGTGAGCTAGTCTGGTGAGCCCTGAAGTCATCCTGCCCGGGTACATGCAGGCCCAGGCTGGCACGTGTGCCTGTGCTGGGGAGACCAGAGGCCCTTTTATGGCTTGGAGATAGGGCCTCCAGTACTGCTGGGCTTTTATCGCCCAGCGAGGCCCATGCTGGGCAGGGCAATAGTGGAGGTGGCTTGGGGTATCTGCGTCTGCCCTTGAAGACCGAATTCCTTGCTGGTCCCTCCACAGGGGCTCTGCTGAAGGCAGCCTTCATCTGTGTAGGGATCGTGCATGTTGGCTCCAAGCTTTCCCTGAGAGAGCAGCTGCTGCACACCTTTGGGGGTGGCTTCGAGCTGCACACCTGGTCTGAGCTGCCCCATGGCTCTGGTCTCGGTGGGTGAATCCTATTTCCCTGCTGCCCACCAGTCACATCCCAAACCTCCAGCCTTGCCTCCGGTCCCCTCCCTGGCCTCTACCCAGCCAAGGAGTGGGCGGGGCAGGACTGAGCTGGGCAGAGCTGTTTCATGTCTGGTGACTTCCTCTGTACCCTGCAGGCACTAGCAGCATCCTGGCAGGTGCAGCCCTGGCTGCCTTGCAAAGGGCCGCGGGCCGCGTGGTGGGCACAGAGGCCCTGATCCATGCAGTGCTGCACCTGGAACAGGTGCTTACCACAGGTATGGGGCAAGAGAGAATTTTGGACATGGACATTTTCCCAAGAGCTTCCAGAGGCTCCCTGGACTTGCAGACAGCCACATATAACTTATGTGTGGTTAGAGCTTCCTTAGAGTGGTTAGAGCTTCCTTCTTACCACTCTGACCCTTTCTGGTGGTTTTCATCTTCATATATTTCTACCTCCAAGGATCTGATGCTTTAGGAACACCTACTAAGTGCTAGATTCTGTGCTGCACCTTTCATGTGTCTTATTAGGTACCTGTAATACCAGATGCTATTTCTCATGATTCTGTCCCCACCTAGGGCTGTCCCTCAGGATGAGACTGGGGAGAGGTGGGTTTGGAATAGGGGACAGGACTTTTAGCTTGCCTTCTGGCAACTTGCCCTGCCCATGGGCTGTGGTCATTTGTGCCCCCCCACTACCGTATTGGGGGGGCACAGAAGGCCTAGTACATGGCTGCGATCATAATGGAATGCTACTAGCACCTTCCACCTCCGCACCACTTTGGCCGTTTGGAATCCGTGCACAATGGAGAGCATCTAGAGGTTTGTCTGACTCCAGATCCTAGGGTTCTCTGGTTACCTCAAGATGCAGGGCCTCATCTACATGATGCTGGGATAGAAGCTGCCACAAGGACAAATAGATGCCTGATTATGGCATCTTCTCTGGTCATTTTGTAGCCCAGCCTCCTCCTTTCATTGCCCTGATTCACAATCCATAATGGGTAGGCATTAGCAAAAAGGGCAGCCTTTTCACTTTCTTTTTGAGGTGTACCATTCAAATCCTTCATTTGGTCAATTGAAGGAGGCTCAGCCCCATTGTTGAGTTCCAGGGAGTCAGCTGATCAGGGTATCTACTCTGTGTTGGGCCTTGGGGATAAAATGAGCAAAAACAGGGTCTTTGCCCTCAGAAGGCATATGGTCTATTGGAGACAGGCCTTAATCAATAATCACTCAAATGAATGTATAATCACAAGCTGTGCTAAGTGTTCTGATGGAGAGGGGTGCAGGTAAGGAGTTCGTGACATTTGGGGCCCAATGCCACTGCCATGTTTTGGCTGTAAAGTTCCAGATGCCCCCTTGACATTGGCAATTTGTACTTTAAATCTTTGCAGACCCTTGCCCAGCTATGAAAAGCCTATCCTGGAATTATCTCAAGTTGTGACACTTTTATATAGCTGCATGAAGAAGAGATCCATACCTTTCATTGCTAAAGCAAGATGTGAACAAGCTCTTTCAAGTTCAGTAAGAGATACCAAAAAGCTTTCCAATATCAACACTGTTTATTAGAAAAGACAGGGTGTAGGGAACTGTTAAGCTGCAGGGAAAGTCCTGTCCTCTCCTTGAGGGGAGCAGTTTATTGTTAGGTCTCCTCCTTTGATATGTCTTACCCCAATTCCTTTTACACTTTAGGTCTGCAACAGAACTCAGGCCTTGCAGGAGCCACACTTGGCTCTGGAACCTTTTCCCCTTGCGGGGCTTGTCCTGGTCTGAGGGATGGGGGCAGAAACTGCACAGGTCGCCTGGCTCAGCCTGGGTTGGGGGAAGCTGTGTTCCCATATTGGTCCTTGCCAGGGGTGCAGGACTGGGAGCCTGGGCTGGGAGAGAGAAGTTGGGCCAGACAGGCGCCAAAAGTAATGGTACCCTGGGCTTGCAGGAGGTGGCTGGCAAGACCAAGTGGGTGGCCTCATGCCTGGCATCAAGGTGGGGCGCTCTCGAGCTCAGCTGCCACTGAAGGTGGAGGTGGAAGAGATCACTGTGCCTGAGGGCTTCGTCCAGAAGCTCAATGACCACCTGCTCCTGGTGTACACTGGCAAGACCCGCCTGGCTCGGAATCTGCTGCAGGTGAGGCCTGGCCCCAAGAGGAAGGAGGGATGCAGATGGCTCAGATCCTCATTGCATCCCTCCTGTCCCATCTGCAGGATGTGCTGAGGAGCTGGTATGCCCGGCTGCCTGCGGTCGTGAAGAATGCCCGCAGCCTGGTGCAGCACACCGAGGAGTGTGCGGAAGCCTTCCGCCAAGGTGAGGTGCTTTTTGCCTGGAACTCAGGGCACCGGGAGTGAATACCTTGTTGCCTATGGGTTTCAGGCCAGGAGCCTTTGCAGGCCTGGCCCAGGCCCCGTGTATGAGGTCCCTGGGGACAGAAGCCTACTGTCTGCCCTCCACAGGGTCTCATACTTAGGTGAGTGGGAGTCCTATCTCAGGGTTACATTTGCATCATAAGGGAGGCCTCCAGCCCCACCTACCAGGAGGCAGACTAGGGAGGAGGCTCAGCCCCACTGTTGAGTTCTAGGGAGTCAGCTGATCAGGGTTCCATGTATGTGACTACATGATTGACTGAACACTGTCCTGGGCACCATGCCAGCTGCCCTATGCACGTTAGTCCTTAAACAACCCTGTGAAGTGGGCTTTATCAGTCCTGTTTCCAGCCAGCACTGGACCTACGTTTTTAACCAGGACACTGGTTAAGTAGTGCTTCTTGGCACCTCATTAAGTCTGCAAATGGGTGTTGAATAAATATTCTGGCTCAGGCAGATCACTCCCCTCTTTGCCCCCACCCAGGGAGCCTGCCTCTGCTGGGCCAGTGCCTGACCACGTACTGGGAGCAAAAGAAGCTCATGGCTCCAGGCTGTGAGCCCCTGGCTGTGCGGCATATGATGGATGTCCTGGCCCCCCACGTGCATGGCCAGAGCCTGGCAGGGGCAGGTGGTGGGGGCTTTCTGTATCTGTTGACCAAGGAGCCGCGGCAAAAGGAAGCTCTGGAGGCTGTGTTGGCCAAGACTGAGGTACCTGGTGGTGGTAGGGGGTGGTAATTGGTGGGAGACAGGAGCCCTCAGTGTGTATAAGCAGAGGCTATAGCTGCAAGTCTCCCTCATCACTTGGCAGCATGAGATTTGTGGCCTGAGACTTGCCCAGAGCCCTCTAAACACTTCCTGTCTTTTGCTCCCAGGGCCTCGGGAACTACAGCGTCCACCTGGTAGAAGTGGACACTCAGGGCCTGAGCCTGCAGCTGCTGGCAAGTGAGACCTCAACCTGATGCCCCTTCCTAGGTTTGTCCCTCTGTAAGAGGGACTGCAGCAGCCTCTCCCTTCCTTCCTCCATGGGAATGTCAGCCTTCTACTCTTTACCCACCCCTCTGTGAACCTGCTCCTAAAGGAAGCCAGCCAATGTGAGCTTGGGCCCAGCCCTTTCTGGAGCTTGGTGAAACAGGTGGTGCCTGGGAATAGGACTGTGACCTCCTGGCTGACTGTGGCCTAGGGTTGGCCTCTAGACATAGGAAAGTCCCAAGCGTAGTGTCCCATGTGGCCTTTACAGATCCATGGCCTGCCTTGGCCTTTTTACTCTCCACGATGGCCTGGAGAAAGTGGGATAACCAGCTTTAGCACATGGCTGGGGGCCCCTTGTAGGCCAATCCTGAAGATGCTCTTTGAGGCATTTCCTGTAGACTTCCTTAAAGGTCCTGCTTCTGCCTGAGAAGAGAATTCCTGTTCCACACTCACAATCAGGAGAATTCCTGATTTGATTGGGGAGTGGGAACAGGAGCAGGGATCCCTACTCTTATTTGTGGCTGTGATCCAGTGCAAGTCACTGCTAATAGAGGCCTTAACCATTAACACTATGGCCTATGCCACATGACCCAGTGTCTATGGGCAGCTGGTTCTCAAAATTAAAACCTTCTTGGAATAAATTCACTCTGTCTTTCAAGGTTGTCCTCATAAAGCTCTTTTTCTGTTCCTGCCAAGGGCAATTCCCACTTGCCTTGGCACTGTGGGAAACCCCCTGGGATGATCTAGCTTCTGGTGCTGAGGGTCCAAGAGGGGATGAGGGTCCAAGATTAGATGAGGTGCCTGGTTTCATATGGGTGCTGATGGTGGCTGTGCGCCACTCTGGGTGTGGGAGGAGGCTGAGGCTTTAGGCTTTTGCCTCCACATTTCAGTGCAACTGGTGGACCTGTCTTGCCCTATAGCATCCAGCCCTCCCTGGAAATAGCACACTGGCATCTTCTAAGGAGTATCTTTATTCAGGGTGATCATAAACATCACAACCTCTCCTTGGGAATAAACCTAATTGCCCAGGTTCCCAGATATACCCAAGTCCTAAATTTAGGGCTGGCCCTGAGGCAGCTCGTTTGCTGTAGTGTCTAAGGATGAGAAAATGACCACCCATATAAAAGGCTGGCCTGCCTTGGCTTTCCCATATAATTAATAGCCCAGGAGGATTCACTTCTGGTGGGTAGAAGCTGCCTGCAAAGCACCACCCAGACAGGTCTGAGTGCAGACAACACAGTGAGTTGAGCCTTGTTTCCTACTGCCCACAGTGAATATTTGGGCCTGTCCGAGCTCCTCAAGCCAGACAGTCTTACTCAGCTTCTTGGCTATGGCTACTTAGGGAATGGGCCCTGAAGTATGATGGGCCAAGTGGGCTTCCCCCTGGCAGTTACAGGCGAAGCCTCTTGATGTCCTCGCTGCGGAAGTCCATGCGCAGAGCCAGCACCTGGCGGACTTCAGCAGGGGTGAGGCGCCACGTCAGTGGGCCAGAGTTGGCGCCCCAGTAATCTAGGATCTCGGTGACCTGCGGGGAAGAACACAGAAAGTCAGAAATGAAAGGCGATCCTGAGAGAAGGTCTTGGGCTCCACCAGAGGCAGAGCAGGGAGGCCCAGGAAGAAGGTGCTCTGTAGGGCTGGGCTACTGGTGGAGACTTGATTTTAATAGGTAGGGAGGGATCCAGATTTTGTTCTGCCTCTTCCCAGTCACCTTTCCCTCTCTAGGCCCAGAGAGCTGCACATACCCGCTCCAGATTGAGGATTGTGGCCATCTGGGAGAGCCGGGCAAACTTGTCTCGGATGGTCCAGGTGGTCACTGTGGTAAGGTAGGCAATGAGTGACCTCAGCTCCTTATCAAACTGCAGACCGCCCAGCTGCAAGGGAACACAAGCTCAGTGTTAAAGGCCTGGCCCTCCAGCCAAGTGGAACCTGCCCCCAGTTTCCCTCAGTGCTGGGCTGCAAGGCCAGTTGGACCTCACGTGGTGCCTCAGTCAGCTCCAAGGCCTCAGATGCCAGGGCAGGATTGGGTCGGGATGTACAGGGCTTATGGGTGGCAGGACTTGTCTTCTTCAGAAGAAAAACAACAGACCTGGGGACCTGTGCTTACTGGATCTTACCCGGTTAAAGGTAGATTTCAGCACCACTCTCTCCAACTCGACGGCAACAAGGCTGGTCATGAGGCTGGTCAGGCTGTCATAGATGACTGGGGACAGGCTGGCCTGCACACAGAGGCTAGACATTAGTGGGAGTCCTACCTAAGCCCCTCTGTCTCCATAGGAATTTTAGGTGGGGGATGGTGGGCAGTTACAGGAGGCCATCGGGCTTGGAAGATTTTTCAGGGTTCCTAGTAGGAGTAATGAGAAGCCAAAGGCTGCTGATTTGGGCAGAGGTCAGTAATTCCATAACTTGGTCCCTAGAGCCCCTGCTCACCTTGAACTCTGCCATCTGTTGCTCCAGGTTAAGGATAAACTGTTGTACCCAAGGATCATTGGCCTCATAGTCATTGAATTCTTCCTGTTGTCAGGAAACAAGTTGTGTCACTGGGGGCCTCTCCAAAAAGTACCATGCACCCCACCCTATTTTCACCCCTCTAAGAAAACACAGGAAGAGGTCTTGTAGCTTCTGTCTCATCCAGCTAAACAGCAGCATGGACATCCAAGCTAGCATACACTGTTGCTGCTTCTTTATCACACTTCTGATCAGCAAATGGACCTGGGCAGCAGCAGTGGTCCACACAACATGATAAAGCTCCTGGCATTTTATCTCCTTTTGCATCCTGTGTAGAACACACTGCATCTTGTTCTATACAAGATGCAATGTCTAATGAATGACATCATTAGGCTAGCAAAAAAAGCTCCGAAGTCCTTCGTAGGTGGGGCAGAAAAGCCTCAATAACAGAGGACATATCAGGTCATGGCAAACTCCCTTTAGCTGTTCAGGGACAGCTTCTAAGTGCAGGAACAACCTGTTTCCTGGGAAGAACCTAGTCTTCAAGGGTGAGGGAAGTGGGCCAGAGAAACATGCAAGGTCTGGTCTCTTCAGACAGCTTCACTGCCCTCCAGCTGGGGGTTGAGAGAATGAGGGTAATCCTGGGCCTGATGGCTGACCTCCTCGATGTTGTGGGAGACAGATAAGAAGGTATTGATCCAAGGCTGCACCTGTGGCTTGATGGCTGTGCTGTTTAGCTCCGTCAACCCTTCCTACAGAAGGACAAGGCAGAGACATGTCAGTCACAAAAGGCACATGTACCTACCCCTTCCTTTCTGCTCCATCCATCCCTTGACCACGAGGACATTGTTCCCTAGTTCACAGTCTTTCCTGCAGGCCTGTCCAAAGTCTAATGGAGATAATGCTAATAGATGTCAGAAACAATCTGTTCCTTTACAGATCTGTGCCAGTTCAGGTCTACGTCATGGGATTGGTTTGGTAAACTCAAAAGAAGAGACTTCTGAGTGCCTGGTTCTAGGCAGCATCTTTGGCTAGGCCAAGCAGTAGGTCAAAGTAACCAAATGGTCCCATTTCCTCTGAGCACCTTTCTGGGCTCTTGGTACTGTGGGGGTCAAGTGGAGACTCAAGAGGACCAGAATGTTGGCTTGTCAGCACGACAACTATTGAAAACTCTTCAGTCTTCAAGGGACTCACATGAGTTCAGTGTCTTGAATGCTACTCTCTTAATTCTCCTCATTTCCTTATATACATGGAGCCCATAATAAACCAGTAACGGTATGCTCAGAGCAACACTCAGGCACAGGATTCAGTCAGCAACTGATCCCGGGGCTTACCTGCAAGAGGTCTCGGAATTTGTTGGACACGGCAGCCAAGTCAGAAAGGCAGCTGTCAAATTTGGCCTGGGCCTGCTCCCCTCCGATGCCCTGGCTGAACAGCTTGGTGCAGTCACTCTAGGGGAGAATACCCAGCTATCAGGCTTCCCAGCATGGCTGGGCCATGAGAGTGCCTGGAAGGCAAAGAGAATGCCCACATACAACCAGCCATTTCTCCAACTCCGGCTTTCTCTGAGAGCAGCTGTGGTTGATCCTAGGCAAGAGTCCTCGACAGGTTTCAGAAAACTTGGATTCTATCTAGTCTGGTGGCTAGCCACTTGACTCCCATTTCCCCCTTTGTAATATGAGAGTATTAGTATCAGGGACGTGAATAAGAAACACAAAAACCAGAGATTTTTCACACCTTTAGAGTCAGCCATTCCTAGCTTCAACCTGGCTTAGCTACATAATGATTGAGTGACCTTGGTCAACTGATTTAAAGCTTCTGAGCTTCAATTTCCCTGTTTATAAAGTGGGAACACAAATTCCTGTCCCCATGGTAGTTGGGAGAGTTGGATGCACAGAGTGCTTAGCTCAGTTCCTGTCAAGTAGTAAACACTAAGGAGACGCTAGCTTTTGTTATAGTTTCTGCTTTTTCAATAATTTTGTCTGGTTGCCCAAGGGAGATATCATGATCACAACTGAGATTTAAATGCTTACTGTATGCCACGCCCTGTTTAAAGCATTTAACTTTTATTAATTAAAGTACCTATCTTACGAAGTAGGTTACTATTACTATCGCTATTACTGAGGCACAGAGAAGTTAATAATTTGTCTAACACTCACACCAAAAAAGGAGCTTGGATTCAAGCTGGGGTTCTGGCTCCAGAGTTCCTGTTGATATAGCCTAGGTGCAGAGAATACCACAGGGGGAGCCGCTTAAAAACTCACCATGTTTTGGTTTGCCAGAAGCTGCTTGAATTTCTTGTAGTCTCCTTAGAAGTTTGTGCTGTTTTGGCTGCAGTAGGAGGAGCAGTGTGGAAGAGTTGCAAAGGGACTCTTTGCAGGCAGAAGCCCTCAGTTCCACAGCAGCTACAATATACACTATTTTTACCTAGCCTTTTATTTATTTTTTATTTTTATTTAAAAATTTTAATGCTTATTCATTTTTGAGAGACAGAGACAGACAGAGCATGTGTTGGGGAGGGGCAGAGAGAGAAGGAGACAGAGCATCTGAAGCAGGCTCCAGGCTCTGAGCTGTCAGCAAAGAGCCTGATGCAGGGCTCGAACCCACAAACCATGAGATCATGACCTGAGCCAAAATTGGCAACTCAACCAACTGAGCCACCCAGGTGCCCCTTTACCTAGCCTTTTAAACTCATCTGTAAAGTAGATATCACACCACCTGACTTATCTCAAAGGGCTGCTAGTGGGGTTCCAAAGAATACATGTGAAATGCAAATCTAAGAAGGGTGGAATTCATGGGAATTGTTTTTCAGCTCTTTGCTATCCTTTTCTCACCTGACTAATTCTACTGACTCAGTTCTCAATTTTTAACATTTCCCAAAATATTCCTTAAAAATCCAATATTATAATGTTAAGAACAAAGTCTGGAATATAATCTTTTTTTTTTTTAATTTTTTTTAATGTTTTATTTATTTCTAGGAGAGAGAGAGAGACAGCGTGAGCAGGGGAGGGTCAGAGAGAGAGGGAATCACAGACTCTGAAACAGGCTCCAGGCTCTGAGCTGGCAGTCAGCACAGAGCCCGACGCGGGGCTCGAACCCACAAACCACGAGATCATGACCTAAGCGAAAGTCGGACGCCTAACCAAGCCACCCAGGCGCCCCTAAAGTCTGGAATATAATCTAAGGTGCCATGACTTAACAATAACAGTCACCTTGTTAACACTTACCATGTGACAGATACTGTGCTTATGGTACACTCTTACTTTATTCCATTTTAAGGCCGTTGTGGGAGCAGTTCCTAATCTGGTCCAGTTTTCAGTACTACTGTAAACTCCCACATGACTCCTTTCCCTGTGCCTCCTTTAGGAAGGCCGCCAGTTACAAGGCCCTCTTCCCCTGTGCTGGCTCCTCGCCTCTGCAGGCTACTTAGCCCTAGAGCTGCCACTTATCATCAGCCTGTGCCTTGCAGCACTGTATCCTCCTTGGAGTAAGGGTGTGCTGGGGCAGCAGGACCCAGGCTTCCCTCCTCTTCCAGAGACATTTTGGGACTCTGGGAGAGTTGGGCTCTTCATTTTCTAATACTTAGCAAAATGGTTGTTTCACACTGCTATTTATAACTATTAATACAATTATTGACTACCACCGATGCCTCTCACATAGCTCATGTTTTATATTATTACATTCATTTTTCACAACTCTGCGAGGCAGAGGTAGAAAGGGAGGTAAAGAACTTGTCTCATGCTACACAGCTGGTCACTGGTCCAGCAGAGACATGAACTTCCAAGCCCAGTCAATTTCCACCACACTATGCAGCCTTCTTTTAAAAAAATGGTAACAGCAACAGCTTTGTACAGGGTTTGATGAACCCTATTAAATCTTAATTTCCTAACATTTTTTGAGGACTTTGTCATTTTTTAATGTGCTTTCAACCCTGTTTTTAGTTAGCCCCCCCAAAAAAACCCAAATTAGGGCAGGAAGGAGATCTGTTTTGTAGATGAGAGTGCTAAAGCTCAGGGAGCTAAGGGACTTGTCTGAGGCCACAGGCCAAGTATGTGCTACAAGTGCTAATTTGAATCCTGATCTTCCAGCTTGTGGGTCAGAGTTCCTCCCACACTGATTGCAAGTGAATCCCCTCAAGTGCTCTGAAGGAAGGCTGGCTCAATGCCAGGGAATGCAAAGGCCCCAAAAGAACAAGTGCGTAGGGACCCCTCTCACAGGGAGGTCTGGAGAGGCTGCAGCTACTGAAAACTGAGGCTGTTTTCTTCATACCTCCAGCGTCTTCTTCAGCGTGGAGATGTTCTCACTGCAGACTTCCACGTTGTTCAGGGTCACCTAGAAGGTAAGGACAGAAAGATGTGACTTCCTGCTCAGTGGTGTTTGTACCCACTCCAGTGCCAGACTGGCTGACAGCTGTAATCTTGAGGCCCACAGGAGGGCTAAGGAACACCCACAGCAATGCCATCAGGCAGGGTGCTCAGGTTTTGGATTGGGCAGAAGAGTGAACCAGGTTCACCCTTTCTCCTGTGCCTGTAACTAAGGCAGGAAAGCCATCCGATCTCACAGGTAGTGACCCAAGATTTCAGATCTTTTTGCTCCATGTTTAGGCACACAGATCTGGGAGAAGTCCTGTGGCTCTAAGCCCAGGTCAGCGAGGCAAAGACTGACATTCATTTAAGAAATGCTTCCTGAAATCCACCCTCTCATAGGGTTCACATTCTAGAAGGGAAGTCAGGTAAGAAATATCAGGTAATGATAAACACCATGTGGAAAAACAAAGCAGAGTGAGTGAACAAAAAGTGATAGGCCACAGGGCTAGGGCCAGGAATAGAGTTCAGGTTTCCCTCCTCTTGGCCAAGAGCTCTTTCTTTCATAAGTTGCCTTATAAGTTTGATGCAAAATTACCAACCATAAAAAGCAGCATGTAACAAAAATGATGATTAAGGCACCAACTGCTATGGTCTTTTAGAGGAAAGAAACATTTTGCTCTAAGGCAGTCAAAGAAAGCTTCATAGCTGAGTTGGTAACTGAGATGAACTTAATTCAGATCAAAAAGGCTGGAGTAATTCTGACAGAGGAGGGTGAATACATTTCTCTACTCATATCAGCCTTTCTATAGGGCACTGTCCCATTTGCTATTTTCTGAATGGTATTTAGGATTATCCAATATCATTTTGTTTGTTTCTTGTTTGCCTTTCCCACTAGAACAAGAGCTCCATGAAGGCAGGGATCTATTCTGTTCTTTTTAGAGCTGTACCTCTAGTTTAACACTGCCCAGTGGGACTTTCTTGATGATGGAAATATTCTAAATCTGAACTGTTCAGTACAATAGTCCCTAGTTTTCTGTGGGTACTGAGCATTTGAAATGTGACTAGTGCAACTCAGGAACTGGATTTTTGGTTTAAACTTAAATTTAAATAGCCACCTCTGCTTACTGGCTACCGTACTGGGCAATGTAGCTCTAGAAGCTAGAACAGTGCCTTATTGAAGTTTCTCAAATAAATATTTGTTCACTGAATGAGTAAATGAATGTGTTCTGAAGAAGGGAGACCATATACAGTTCCAGAGTGGCAGAAAACCCCCCAAAGTATTTGGGAATCAGCAGAGTCAGTGCATGGATATATGCAGAAAAACACCAAGAGTCTGTAAAGCTGCAGAAGTGAGTGCAGTCAGACTGGCACTTGGCTGCTATGCTTTCCTATGGACATGTTGGCACCGAGGATTTAAAGCAGGTGAATTCCATACGAACACAACTGTGGCTTGGGAATACTAATCTAGAGGCTGTGCAGGGGAGGAATCAGAGAGTATGAGAGGATCATACTGTCTCTGAACTGGTGTGCTGGTGGCATGACCATGAAGGCAGGGGTGACGTAGGGAGGAGCCTATTTTCAAAAAGGTGAGTCAGGAGCTTCAGGATTTCAGGGTAAAAGAATTTCAGAATCCCAGGGATTGAGACTAGGATGGCCCTCCTGTCCCCAAGAGTGCTTCCCTCACCAGTGTCCTGCAGCCAATACTGAAATATGCTACTGCCATTGCTGCTGAGGCAGCTTCCATTGGGATGGATAAGACTTAGAGCCTTTCATTAGCATGCCACAGCACAAGGCTGCTAACATCACAAGCTTCCAGAGAGATAAGTGCACCGTCATGATGAAGCTCAAGGATGAAGGCCACAACTTAAATGTTTCCAAAGCATTTAGGGGCATAAGAAAAATCTGTCATAAGGGGAAAATGGATTTGGGTTCAAAAGGTATTGATTTCAAAGTTCCTTGTACTGACAGTCCTAGTAAGCACAGATTCACTGGGCTTATCCCCAGCTCACAGTGAATGTTATGTCAACACCGTTGGGGAATTCATCTTGACAGCCAAATGAATCAAGGTGACATAAGAACTGAGTGCTGCGGTGGGAGCAATGACATTTTAAGTACTTGGTGTCAGAAAAACTGGAAACCTGTCACCAGCCATTTAGCATCACCTTTCTCGTTGGCCTTATCTTCTGGGCCCTCAAACAATGAAGCTGTGCATGGCAGCAGAGAATGTGCAAATGCACAGCCGCTAGCGTAATGGGGACTTGTGGGAGGAAAGTCCCTTCATGGGGAGGAAAATAGCGCTAGAGGGGCAGGATAGGTGAAGCTTAGAGGCCATCAACAAACCACCAAGCAAAGATGCAGAGCTAGGAGTCATTTCTGAGTAGAGAAATGAAAGAATAAAAGGAAGCTCTATAGAAAATGAAACAGAATGAAAACAAAATGAAAAATTTAAGTCAGTTCATGATCAAATGAAGCTGGTTGCCAAACATTTTGGCCAAGTTCTCCAAAGGTATATTTCAGAGGTAATAATTTCTTGGAGCCAGTCGTCTTTTTTGGCAACAACCAGGACATTCCAGATCAACAGAACCCATGCTCAGAGAAAATATTTTCAGTGATAGGAAGAGAGTGGGGCTGCCTAAACAGCAGTCTGAGGACAGTTCCTGTGGGTTCCCTTGCACAGGTGGGTAGATATTAGTATGTTTAGGCTTCTGTCTCCGAGAACAATAGCTCTTAACTCTTTTGGGGTCACAGACCCCTTTAAGAATCTGTGAAAAGCCAAGGATGCTGCTTCTAGGGCAAAAAAAGTATACATTCAGCATCCAACCCCAGGGTGTTCAGAGACCCCCATCTGTGGACTACTGATGGAGAGCTCTACTATTGGATGTTTCCTTCAGGCTCTGAACCCTAGGAGCCGAGAAGATTCCGGCCAATGTGGGGGTGAAGCAGAATGACCTCTAACAGCACTGTTCCCACAATGCCAAGACAGCACATGCTAGAAAGGCTGATCCGGGCTCACAATTCATCTGTATTCTCTTTGGCTCATCACAAACTGGCTGTTAACTTTGTACAAATCCCTTAATTTTTCCATGTTTCTCTCTTTCCAGCTATCACACACCCGGTAAGACTCACTGTTTCATTTTGTCTGTCATTCTGGGTAGCTAAGGGCTTTAAAGAAGGTCATCTTTCTGAGGATGCTGAAAGCCCAAAAAGTCTGCTAGGGAAAGAGCTCTGGTAGGTCTAAATGATCAGTCCCAACCCATGTTGTGGGACTGGCCTTACAGAAGGGGGCTGGAGGCTTGGCACAGATATTCAGATATCACAGTTCGCTCTGTGGCAGGTGCAAACCAAGCATGATACTCAGTGGAGACCCTGAACAGCTTCGTAGTCTCCTTGGGAATGAGCACTTGGGAGAGCTAAGGTACAAGGTGCCCAGCCTTCTAGGCAAGGAACAGTGCATGTCCTGGTTTGGACTGGTCAGAAATAGGTCCCTAGGAAAGAAATGGTTTCAGAACCTTCTAGGAGAAGCTTTCCTTAAAAGAGTTTTCCTTCTATACAGACATTGGAAGAAAAGTTCCCAGTTGAAGGCAAATTCTTCTGTGGCTTAGAGGTCATAGTTTCACCTCTTAAAATAAACCACCCAGCTCCTGATCTATGGAGCTACCTACCAGGAAGGAAAGCTTGGCCTCGTCAGTGCTCTCAATGCCTTTTGTGTCAAATTTGCCTTGCTGGAGGCTGCTGTGCATGATGTTCACAGCACTCGTCACCCCACGCTGGATGTCCTGTAAGGTGGTGGCCGGGAAGCCCATCCGCAGCTTGTTACACAAAACATCCCTGTGGGTGCAGAATGGCATATAGAGACTGACAGCATTCAACCTGGCTTCCAGGATAATACGACCAGAAAGCCCATGACCCTAACCCAGCAGCGTGGCCTGCTCTTTTGGGGGAGTAACCAATCCTTGAGATGGTGGGAAAACATGAGCATCCAGGGTATGAGAGGGACCCGTAGCCCATCAATGGCACTGATGTGACAAGAACATACAGAGAAGACTGGCCCAATTCTTTACTGCCTGTGAGGCTTTCAGTTATTACCACTGAGCTCCCAACAAATTCGAGGCAGTACAGCTTAGTGAAAGGCAGTTCCATATAAGTAGTGAGAGAACAGGTTTTGAGAGGCAGTTCTGGATTCTATTCCATATTCCACCATTTATGAGCTGTATGATCTCCCTGAGCCACAGTTTTCTCAGGTATAAGAGGGCTAATGGTTGTTATCAAGACTGAATAAGAGCAAGAAATTCGAAAAGTAGATGGCCTGTAGCAATGGTAACTATCATTGCTTTATTACAACTATTGCCTTCAACTGAGCTACCTATTCTCTTTCCTAGGTTTGAGGGCCAGTAACCCCTCCAATCCAGGCCAGGGAGCATAGACTTGGCCTATAAGGTATCTGACTACTGTACAGCTGTCTGAAGCCAAGGATATTGTGCTATGGATAGAAGCTCCTATCCTATATAGCACTGAACTAGAATCATATGGAAAAAAGGGAAGCAACATAGGCCTTAGGAATCAATCACAACTAGGACCTTTTTGCTTCCTTGAAAGTAGAAAGGGAGTCAACTGTACCTGAAGTCAGACTCCAGTTCTGTGGTGGCAAGGTTGATCATGGCACAGAGACAGTCGATGCTGGAGCTAGACAGAGCCCGCCCAATGCACTTCTTAACAATGTAGAAGACATCATCCACCATGCTAGATGTCAACTGGCCCTTCTCATAGGTGTCCAGAGCCACAGCCTAACCAAAAGGCAAAGTGGCCAGTGAGGGCTCCAGTGCTGCATGCCACTGTTCTAGATAGTTCTGGAACATGCTCTGGCTCTGCTCCCTCTTCTATAGCTTGTCCTTGTTTCTCCCAACATGGCTTACTCTGGTCACAGCTTGGTGTGGATCTTCCTTGTCAAAATAGCTCATTTCCCTACTGACTATGTTAGGAAATTAAGTACTTAGGGACTTTGCCCTGGGGACATCTGTTAACTGGGATGTAAGACATCAGGAGAGGCTCTTCTTTCTTAAGTCTCCTCACCCACATATCTCAAAGGAGGCAGGGCACAAGTAGGCTCCCTGAGGAGCTAAGGTGCTCTTTTGTGAGCCTTGGGAAAGACATCCCAAGGGTCTTTGGAGAGCATGACAACTCCAAAAATGACCTTTTAACCATACAAAGTGGTACTGCTAAGTCAGCATGCAAGGATATTCTCAAAGCAGAACTAGGAAATGTAACATGCCTTGGCCTTTTCCTTCTGCCTGGCTTCTTAGACAGGAAGTCCCATTTCCAAGGGATGTGTCCTCTGTCCTACCTTATTGACAGTCTCTCTCATGAAGTACTCCTCCATGGTAATATAGAAACCAATTAGCTCCTGCATGGTACAGCTTAATAGGCAGTTATTGAGGAGTTTGTCCAGACACTTCTGGTGCTCTAGGGGACAGCCAAGAAAGAAATACTCACTTTTCTTCCCTAAGGGAAAAATATCAACTGTTCTCATTTCCCCATGTTCCTTTCTAGTCTTTGTTCCCAATCTGTACATAGTTTTACACGGTTATAATCATGGTACAGATACAATTTTGTATTCTGCTTTAAAAAAATATTATCATATATGCCTGAAACTAATGTAACATTGTGTCAACTATACTCAAATACAAAAATTTTTAAAAAGATTGTATCATAAATATTTTTATTTCTATAATGCTTATTTTTCTTTCAGCTTATTTTAAATGGTTGTATGATATTTTATCAGGTTCACACTTTAATTTTTAAAAAATGTTTATTTATTTGGGAGAGAGAGAGACAGCACACAAGGCGAGGAGGGGGCCAGAGAGAGAGAGAGAGGGAGAGGATCCCAAGCAGGCTCGGTTCTATTTCATGAACCATGAGATCATGGCCTGAGCCAAAATCAAGAGTCAGACACTTAACTGAGCCACCCAGGCACTCTGGTCCACATTTTTAAAAATGTTTATGTGTTTATTTTTGAGAGAGAAAGAGAATAAGCAAGTGAGAGCAAATGGAGGATGGGCAGAGAGAGAGTGGTAGACAGAGAGAATCCCAAGCAGGCTCTGAGCTGTGAGCACAGAGCTCAACAAGGGGCTCCAACTCATGAACCATGATGAGGCGCCTGGATGACTCGGTTGGGTGACCGACTTCAGCTCAGGTCATAATCTCATGGTTTGTGGGTTCGAGCCCCTGCATCAGGCTCTGTGCTCACAGCTCAGAGCCTGGAGCCTGCTTTGGATTCTGTATCTCCTCCTCTTTCTGCCCCTCCCCCATTCACATTCTGTCTCTCTCCCCCTCAAAAATAAATAAACGTTAAAGAAATAAATAAATAAAACTCATAAACTGTGATATCATGACTGGAGCCAAAATCCAGAGTTGGTTGAGCAGCCAATTCTTGATTTCAGCTCCAGTCATGATGTCAGTTTGTGAGTTATGAGCCCTGAGTAGGGCTCCTGGCTGACGGCTTGGAGCCTGCTTGGGATTCTGTCTCCTGCTTGTTCTGCCCCTCCCCCACTCATGCTTGCACTCTCTCTCTCTCTTAAAATAGATTTAAAAAAAAAGAACTCTATTTTTAGACACCTAGGTTTTTTCTAACTGTTTTGTCATTATTAGAGAACATAATAATTGGAGATTATAGTGAATTTTTTAAAACATTTTATTTTTTAAGTAATCTCTACACCCATTATGGGGCTCAAACTCACAACCCCAAGTTCAAGAGTTGCATGCTCTTCTGACTGAGCCAGCCAGGAGCCCCATGTCACCTATCTCAGAGGTGGTGAGGCAACATGATGTAGAGAAAAATTAGAGGGAAATAATTTAAATATTCTGGGCATTAGCTTTCCTCACCTGCACAATGAGTAAATGGCCTTAAAGATCCAGTCCATTCTTTAACATTTAGTAAGTCTAGCTTTCCTGTTGGGTGTCACTTTGCCCACAGACCTCGGATGCTAAGAAGCCCTAGTTATTTCTGTGTTTAGAGATCTGTGGCTTCACTATTAGAAAACAGTGCCAATTCTGTCCCAGCCCTCCCAGAAAATATGGGAAACATGTTTTACCCTGCTTTACTTCTTCTGAGGCCATGGAGTCCCCCACCTCAAAATCAGAGCTGATCCTCTTCCTGAGGAAGCGTAAGTACAACTCACTGCGGGCATTCATTAGGGTGACCTCCGTCAAGATAGGGTCCAGTTCCCTGAAATACATGGAGCAGAAGGAATAGGCAGGAGGACACTGGATTCCCTTAGATATAAGAGATACAGGGCAAACAGTCCCAAACTTCCTCTCCCACTGGGCCCAGAAGGGTCAGCTCAGCCAGATGGTCATCCTGGTCTGCTGGCCCAATTATAATCAGAGACAGCTGTCAACCACATATTCCACTTAACCTGTTTCACCCACTAAAATACAGTCAGGGCTAAATAGGAGGTTGGGAAGTCTATTTTTGTCAGTGGTTTGAGTAAAAATGATCTATGCCTTACATGAAAGGAACCACACCTCCCCAACCTCTTATTTAGCTGTGGTGGGATTTCAGGCTACACCATTAAACTGTGTCCCACACCCACTCATCTATCCAGATGAAGAGCCAAAACAATTTTTTAAGTTTTATTTAATGTTTATTTATTTTTGAGAAAGAGAGCCAGAGTATGAGTGGGGGAGGGGCAGAGAGAGGGAGACAGAATCTGCAGCAGGCTCCAGGACTGAGCTGTCAGCACAGAGCCTGATGCAAGGCTTGAACTCACAAACTACAAGATTATAACCTGAACCAAAATCTGACGCTTAACTGACTGAGCCACCCAGTTGCCCCAAGCCAAAACAATCTTGAAAAAAATAACAAAATTGAGGGGTACCTGGGTGGCTCAAGTGTCCAACTCTTGATTTTAGCTCAGTTCATGATCTCATGGGTTCATGAGTTTGAGCCTCTATTGCATGAAGCCTGCCTGGGATTCTGTTTCCCTCTCTTTCTGCCCTCCCCTGTTCTTGCTCTCTCTTTCTCAAAATAAATAAGTAAACTAAAAAAAATATTTTTTAAAGTTTCTTTTTAAATGTTTATTTTTGAGAGAGAGAGAGAGATCAAGCACGAGTCGGGGAGGAGCAGAGAGAAAGGGACAGAGGATCCAAAGTGGGCTCTGTGCTGACAGCAGAGAGCCCAATGCAGGGCTTGAACTCACAAACCGTGAGATCATGACCTGAGCTGAAGTCGGACACTTAACCAACTGAGCCACCCAGGTGCCCCTATTATTATTATTTTTTTGAAGTAGGCTCTGTGCCCCATGTGGAGCCCAACATGGGGCTTGAACTCATGACCCTGAGATTAAGACCTGAATTGAGATCAAGAGTCAGATGCTTAACCAAATGAGCCACCCAGGCACCCCTGATGAGTGATTTTTTAAAATGTTTATTTTTGAGAGAGAGAGAGAGAGAGAGAGAGCGAGAGCGAGCGCATGAGCAAGGAAGGGCCAGAGAGAGAGAGATACAGAAACTGAAGCAGGCTCCAGGTTCTGTGCTGTTAGCACAGGGCCCAATGTGGGGGTCAAACCCATGAACCATGAGATCATGACCTAAGCCAAAGTCAGACGCTTAACCAACTGAGCCACCCAGGTGCCCCTGATTTTTTTTTAAGTTTATTTATTTATTTTGAAAGAGAGGGCGTGAGCAAGGGAGGGGGTGAGAGAGAAACCCAAGCAAGCTGTCAGCACAGAACCTGACATGGACTTAATCCCATGAACCATGAGTTCATGACCTGAGCCAAAATCAAGAGCTGGACGCTTAACTGACTGAGCCACCCAGGCACCCTGAGTGTCTTTTTTAAAAATATTTATTTTTGAGAGAGAGAGAGAGAGAGAGAGAAAGCAAGTGTGTGCATGGGGGAGGGGCAAAGAGAGAGGAGGACAGAGGATCTGAACTGGGCTCTGTGCTGACAGTGGAAAGCCCAATCAATGCAGGGCTCAAACCCACAAACTATGAGATCATGACCTGGGCTGAAGCCAAATGCTTAACTGACTAAGCCAACTAGGCACCCGTAAAAGAATAAAACAAACAAACAAAAAAACCCCAAAAAAACCCCCACAAAGTTGAAGGACTCACACTTCCCAATTTTAAAACTTACTATAAGGCTACAGCAACAAAGACAGTGTGGTACTGGCATAAGGATAGGCCTATGGATTAGTTGGGAGTCCTTAAGTCTTCACATTTATAGTCAACTGATCTCTAAGAAGAGTGCTCAGACAATTCAGTAACAGTCTTTTCAACAAATTGTGCTGGGATGATGACAGATATCCACATAAAAAGAATGAAGTTGAACTCCTCCTTCACATTATATATATAAGTTAAATCATTTTCTACACTAAACTCCAAGATATCTTTTCAAAACATACATCTGGTCATATTGTAATCATATGATTTCCATAGCCCTTAGGACAACCTCTCTGAATTCATCTCATATCAGACTCTCCCCAACTCTTTGCACTTCAACTACATTGCCCTTCTTTCCCTGCTCTACCTGGAACACTCTTCCCGTCTAATTTCTATTTACCTTTTAAGCTTATTTATTTATTCTGAGAGAGTAATAGAGAGAGAGTGAGAAGGGCAGGGAGAGAGAGAATCCCAAACAGGTTCTGCACCGATAGTGCACAGACTGATGCAGGGCTCAAACTCCAGAGCCCGCAAGACCATGACCTGAGCTGAGAGCAAGAGTCAGATGCTTAACTGACTAAGCCAGGCACTCCTTATTTATTTTTATTTACTCTTAAGGTTTCAGATCTAAGGTAATTTCCTCAGAGATTTTTCGTTGAATTTCATCAGCTTAGGTTACAGCCCTTTATTATATGCTTTCCTACACTATACACATAGTATATCATACTGATTAACAACACAAACTCTAGAGTTTGACTGCTTGGATTCTATTCCTGACTGTCATCTTCTCACTGTATGACCATGGGCAAGTCACTTAACCTCTTCAGGCTTCAGTCTCCTCATTTATAAAAAATTTTTTGGATTAAATCAGTGATCCTCAAAAGACGGTGATTTTACCCTCAACCCTCTACCCAAGACATTTGGCAGTGTCTAGTGACATCATGCTACCAGTATGTAGTGGGTGGAGGCCAAGGACTCTACTAAACATCTTACAATGCAGACACAGTCCTCTATAACAAGGAATTATCCAGCCAAAATGCCAATATTACAGAGGCTGGAAACCCTGGAAAAGTGCTTAGAACAATGTATGCCATATAGTGAACACCAGATAAACGTTAGCTATTATTATTATCTATCTACTTTCGACTACAGATACCACAAATAAAGAATTATGTCGGGTTCGCTTACTTTGCTTGCTGCCACCTTCCCAGTATCAAAGATAAGTGCCTGGCACATAATGTGTACTTAGTAAAAATTTGATTGAGTACATTTTTATAATGTTTAAATTCTTTTAATGAGCATATCTTACTTTTATTTATTTGTGTTTATGTTAATTTATTTTGAGAGGAAGAGAGCGAGTGAGGAGGGGAAGGACGAGGGAGAGAAATATAATCCCGAAAAGGCTCAGCATAGAGCCTGATGCAGGGTTCAATCTCACAAACCATGAGATCATGACCTCAGCTGAAATCAAAAGTCCAAAGCTTTACCAACTGAGCCACTCAGGTGCCCCAAGCATATATTACTTTTATTAGAAAAAAAGTAAAAGCTTGAATCATAGGTAAAATATCTTTAAAACATATACCACATTGTAACAGAGCAGTCTCTGAATGATACATGATTACCAATTCAAACTTTTATGGGCTGGAGAAAATAGGTTATTACCTTGGTTCTATTTTTTCTGTTGTAGAATTTCTCATCAAGTTGTTCTGGACATGCCGGAACTGCAATATACCAAAGAAATGAGAATGCTCTCCCCCACCCCCTTCTACCTACCTCTTGCCGGTCACTATACACTTCTGGCATAGAAGGATGTTTAAGTTTAGTTTGCTTAACAAGCAAGCCAAAAGTAGGCTATCAGGATGATGAGCCAAAGATTTACTTTTGGTTTAGATGCTAATTCTCCTCCCCCTCTATTATTGCATGTCAAAGTGGTGTTAATGGTATTACAATGAACTGCTGTCTAGTAAGAGTACTAGAAATAAAATTGTATGGGCTACTCCTATTTCTGGAAACTTAAAAAAAAATTTTTTTTAAGTAATCTCTTCTCCCAACGTGGAGCTCCTAGGGGCTCGTAGGACTCGAAATCACGATCCTGAGAGCAAGAGTCACATGCTCTTCCAACAGAGCCAGCCAGGCGCCCCTCCTATTTCTAGATCCTACTCTTACATCCTCTGCTCAAAGGAAAGGACAAATAAGTTTCCAAAAAAAAAAAAAAAAGAAAGAAAGTAAATATTACCATTAGCACCTAAGGAACTAAGGAGAAATCTGAGACAAATTACTTGACACTTAATACAACCTTAAGAAGTAAAATTCTCCTTGTATCCCCAGAAGGCACTGCTGCACATTCTGTGATAGAGAGCTGGTCTAATGTTTCTATTCTGTGTTTCTTTCAGGAAGCTTACTTCTTTCTCAATCTCGTACTAAGTTATCATCTTGACATCACCTCAAATCCAAAGTAAGCTGGTGACAGGCAAGATGCAGGCCAATTTGCATTCCATATTTATTTTTCTACCTTCATCTTTTTTCATCCCTTCCCCTCCCCATCCCCAATTTAATGTATTCAGTATCGTTGGCTAACGCTATTTCCAAACCCACCTGTAGCTTTCCCTGCTCACCTGCTGGTGGTAGTCCCTCTGCTTGACAAACTTGTCTACCACCTTCTCCACTTGTCTGTCACATTCCACCTGCAGGTATTTTATGAGGGTGTAAAGTCTCCCTGGCCCATAATACGTCTCCACTATTGGTTGGTGGGTCTCTACAATGCGGGCAATACCTAGAATGAAGAAAATGAGAGGACTGGATTCCAAATGTTTTCCCATAAAATAAACTTTCTTCTATTCAGGACTGACCTGGGGTCTAATGCAACCCTTTTAGGCTGGCTGTTTCATCTCCCAAAATGAATACAGTTGGTTCTTGCCAGTGCTAGGAGTTGCTAAGAAAATTTGTCTGTTAAATATGTACAGTGCTTGGTAAAGTAGAAGGCATTTAAATTATACTGATAGTTTCAGTAGGAGCATCTTTGAAAAAAAATTTTTTTTGACACTTTATTTATTTCTGAGAGAGAGAGACAGCATGAGAAGGGGAGGGTCAGAGAGAGAGGGAGACACAGAATCTGAAACAGGCTCCAGGCTCTGAGCTAGCTGTTAGCACAGAGCGCGATGCGGGGCTTGAACCCACAAACAGTGAGATCATGACCTGAGCCGAAGTCAGCTGCCCAACTGACTGAGCCACCCAGGCGCCCTGGAGCATCTTTGGAAAATAGCATCACTCTCTTCCCAGTAATTTAGAGTTAAATTTACTCTTAACAGTTTGGGTCTTGAGGGATAGGGAGGATCAAAACACTTGAGGAACTCTAATTTTTGCTAATTAGATACTGAATTGGAAGTTACTTCTTTGATAAATCAATACATAGCAAGCTACAGGATTAAACTGAAGGCTAGTGGGGAGAAACACTAGGATGTAGGTATTAGGTAGAAAGGCCTTTAGTCTCCTTTGAGTGGAGAACAACGCTTACCTTCAAACAGAAGAGTGAGTGTGTCTGCAAAGATGACTGCAGCCCTCCGGTCACGCATATCTGTCCCTAGCACCAACAGTAGATTCTCTTCAGCTTTACTGGCCACCTGAAAAAAGGAGAAAATCCACAGGAGTTCTCGGATCAAAGGTTGGCCTCAGTTTTCCAAAAAGATCTCCCATTGACTTTCTTTTTCCCATGTTTGCTTTGATGCTTGAAAGCCTACGCAGCACACAGGATCCTCCCTGTGGGCTCGGGGTTGTCTGGGCCTCAGGCAAGACAAAGAACTTGAACACAGTGGTAACTCTTCTTCAACTCAGAGGTATAAATAATGTTTTCCTTTTCTTTGAAGATATGTACTGCCACCAGACAAAGGGAAAGAGTCCCCAGTTTCACTAATCTTCTCCAAGTATAACTCAAAGTTATTATTAATGGTGCTTCATTGAGCAGGACAAAGAATCTGGGTAACACAGAAGGGATTTTTAAAGGATTAAAAATAGAAGCCATTTCTAGGCCCCAGATGGCAAAGTACTGATTTAAAAAAAAGTGCCATAAGACAGTTACATATATGTATAATGCATTTTCTTTTTTTTTTTGTCAGCCCTCCATTTTTCCCATATTTTATTTTTTTTAGAATGTGTAACACACACACACTTAAACATTCAAAAGGAATAAAGGAGTGTTCAGTGAAAAGCCGTTCTTTCTCTTACCTATTCCTCTTGGACTCCTAAAAATCTCTTCTCCAGAGATAACTGTTGTTAATCCTTTGAAAAATATCCTGTTTATACAAATATGTATTTTTATTGCCACTTCTGTCATTTTTTTTGGAAAATGTTCACTTGTTTATTTTGAGGGAGAGCCTGGGCATGAGTGGGGAAGGGGCAGAGAGAGAGAGAATCCCAAGCAGGCTCCACACTGTCACTGCAGAGTCTGATGTAGGGCTCAATCTCACCAACCATGAGATCATAACCTGAGTGGAAATCAAGAGCTGGATACTTAACTGACTGAGCCACCCAGGCACCCTACCATGTCTATCATTTTAAGCAGAAATTGAGGTATTTAGGCTAACTTAACTATACATCAGCGCGTGAAGTATGTTAGCGTGTATGGATTTGTCTCATTTATCTTAATGCAGAACAGTGTTCCATTATAGAGAACTTTGGGGGAAGTGGGAGAAGGCACTCTGACATATAGTTGCATACATGCCTGATGAAATTTCTTCTTTCCATCTAAGGTCAAGGGGAAGGACTCAAGACTTTAACTGAAACCTGTTTCTTTTTCAGGATTTAACAATAAGTAACATCACCGGCTTCATTTCAGTGTGGCTTATTTTGAGCTCAAACCTGGTTATGAAGCCTTAAAACAACTAACCAACAACTCTGAATGCTCTTAAAGTAAGGTGGTTCCTGGCTGACAGTTTAAAAAGTGTAATTCAATTTGTCAGAGAATTTGCATTTGCATTTTCCTGTATTTTCACTTAGTTGTTGGAAATGAATGTGCATCAGTTGATGTCTAGGCCATGCCTGGTATGCAGCAGGCTGGCAATAGATAAGTGTTGAATGAATGTATGCATCCAGTCCTGCTGGGCTACGGCAAGAGACGAAAAGGGGAAAGTGAGAAAGAATCCACAGAAACTGGATCAATACAGTGTCCTAATCTGCAGTCAGAGAACCATATCACTACTCTACCAAGCAATCAGTGGCCATACCTGCTTGCAAAGGTATTCTGAGAACTTGCTTAATCCCTCCTCATGCAGACCCAGCAGTGGGAAGATCTTGAAGAAGCGCTCCACCTGGGGCAGATCCCCTTCCTTAGTAGCGATGGCAAACTTCTCTGTTACAATGGCTTTGAGACGTTGCTCAGCTTCCTGTAGCAATTTCAGGTTGGCATCAATCATGCTGCCTGTGCAATGGGGAGACATTGAGAATTAATGTAAAGAATGGTACTATCTTAGGTCTATGCCACTTTATGCACCACAATCCATTAGAAACACAAAGAGAAGATACAATCCAGTAGAAGAAATAGGGGCGTCTGGGTGGCTCAGTCACTTAAGTGTCCGACTTCGGCTCAGGTCATGATCTCACGGTTCGTGGGTTCAAGCCCCATGTCAGGCTCTGTGCTGACAGCTAGCTCAGAGCTGGAGCCTGCTTCTGATTCTGTGTCTTCCTCTCTCTCTGACCCTCCCCTGCTCACGCTGCCTCTCTCTCTCTCTCAGAAATAAATAAAACATTAAAAAATTTTTTTTAAAAAGCAGAAGAAATAAGATCTATGCACAAATAACTATAACAAGTTTATGGTAAGTGTAATAAGAAAAGTGGGCACAAGTCACATCTCTGGTTGAATTAGAAAAGTCTTCCCAGAAATGATATCCTGTCTTTTAAAGATGGGCAGGGTTTTGACACCTGGATAAGAGAAACATACATTCCAGACAAAGAGAATGAAATAAGCAAAGGAACAGAAATAAAAAGATGAAAAGAAAAAAGTACTTACATGTACAGTACTGCAAGTAATATATAGTCTGGCATATAGAGGACTCCATATATGTGCACAATGAATGGATTCATGAGTGAATAGTACAAAACCAGGTAAGAAAGGATATGGGTTGAGATGACAGAAGGCCTAGAATACCAGGCTAAGGATTTAATTTTATAAGTAGGTGATATGGTCAAGTGGAAAGAACCTACTGACCAGAGGAACAGATCTAGACTCAGTTTCCTTTTCCATATAATAGGAATTATAATGCATACCCTAGGATGGTCTACAATCTATATAGGGTCAAATACCAGACAAGGAAATTGCCTAACAGAGGCCCTTTTCATGGTTGAGTTTGCCTTATTCAAATTATAGATGCTTATAACTACAGTAGAAATCAACAGTTTGGGATAGATGCTCACCTTCTTTGCCCTGTCGGCTGAGCTCAATGACTGATTTGTCCAGGCACAAGTAGCGATGAATATGGGCAGCAGCCTGCTCATAATCTTCATTCCTCAAAGCAGTCTGAACTCCATCCATGCAGAACTTAAGGTCCAAGATATCATCAGCTCTCTGAATGGCTTGATAGAGGCGGTTCTGCAAAAAGACTTGGTGCTTAGAAACAATGTCCTATTCTTTCAAAAATATCTCTTCAGAAGGTAGGTAGATCAGAGGCCGAATCTGGCTAACCAGAAGCTCTGAACAACTACCACTCACAAAACTGTTATTGATGATGACCGTAATACTGACAGGTATCATAAAATTTTATTTATGTGACCAGATTAATCATTTTAATGGAAGCAAGAACAGGGATAAACCATATTTATATCTGGCTTGTGGTAAATTAATAAAGGAACCAGACTGTATTTTTTCGGAATTAAGCAAGTTTTTTAACATTTATTTATTTTTGAGACAGAGAGAGTACAAGCTGGGGAGGGGAGAGAGAGAGGGAGACACAGAATCTGAAACAGGCTCCAGGCTCTGAGCTGTCAGCACAGAACCCAATGTGGGGCTTGAACCCACAGACCACAAGATCATGCCCTGAGCCGAAGTCGGATAATTAACTGACTGAGCCACCAGGTGCACCAGCAAGATTTTTTTTTTTTTTTAACGTTCATTATATTTGAGACAGAGAGACAGAGACAGAGTGTGAGTGGGGGACGGCCAGAGAGAAAGGGAAACACAGAATTCCAAGCAGGCTTTGAGCTGTCAGCACAGAGCCCGATGTGGAGCTTGAACCCTTGAACCATGAGATCATGACCTGAGCTGAAGTTGGACGCTTAACCAACTGATCCACCCAGGCACCCAAGCAAGAATGTTTTAAAGAAACTTTAGTATGTAACTTGGTGTCTGTGTGACTATAGGGTTTTGTGGTGAGTTACTTTAGCAGGATCTAGACAGATGAGAGTGGGAGGAGTTATCCTATTTCACAGAAGAAAACTGAGGCTGAGACTGACTTATTCAAGAGCCCAGATCCTATAATATTCACTACTGTAGTCATTAATGATCTGTGGCACTTAAAATGTAGCTAGACACACTGGAAATGTGGCTAGTCCAACTTAAGATGTGTAAGACACACAATGGATTTCAAAGACTTAGTGCAGAAATAAGGAAAGGCAAAACATCTCGTGATAGCATTTTATAGCAACCCATATAATGGGTTAAATAAAACATATTATTAAAATTATTTTTACCTATTTCTGTTCTTTTAAAAAATGGCTACTAGAGGGATGACTGGCTGGTCCAGTTGATAGAGCATGTGACTTGTGATCTCAGGGTCATGAGTTCAAGCTCCATGTTGGGCAAAGAGCCTACTTAAGAATAAAAAAATAATGATAATAAAGTAGAAATAGTTACTAGAAAATCTAAAATTACATATGTAGTGCATATTCTTTTCCAAGCTGGAAGACTTTTATTTCATTTTCTTGCCTGACTGCTCTGGCTAGAAACTCCAGTACAATGCTGAAGAAAATCAAGAGCTGCCATCCCTGTTTTATTCCTGATCTTAGGGGGAAAGCACCCAGTCTTTCACCAGTATGATGTTAGCTGTGGGTTTTTCATAGACAGAATTTATCAGGTTAAAGAAATTGTCTTTTATTCCAACTTTTATGAGTTTATGTTTTTTCTGAGTTTATGAGTTGATCATGTAGTTTTGTCCTTTATTCTATTGATATGGTAGATTACATTAACTGATTTTCAGATATTAAAGCAACCCTGCATTCTCACTCAGTCATAGTATAATCCTTTTTATATGTTGCTATATTTGGTTAGCTGGTTTGTGGTGCTTTGAGGATTTTTATGTCTTTATTCATGAAAGGTATAAGTCTGAAATGTTCTCTTCTTGTGCTATCTTCAGCACAAAATCAGTATCTTGCATTGGATTTCTAGTGAATGGTGCTGCTCGAATTTTTTTTATAAAAATTGTTTTACATTTATTTATTTTTGACAGACAGAGAGAAACAGCACAAGTGGAGGGGGGGAGGGGAAAAGAGAGGGAGACACAGAATCCAAAGCAGGCTCTAGGCTCTGAGCTGTCAGCATAGAGTCTGACGTAGGACTCAAACTCACAAACCGTGAGATCATGACCTGAGCCAAAGTCAGACACTTAGCCGACTGAGCCATCCAGGCGCCCCAATGCTGCTCTAATTTTTTTAAAAAACGTTTTATTGTATATTTATTTTTTAGAGGGAGAGAGACAGAGCACTAGCAGGGGAAGGGCAGAGAGAGAGGGAAACAGAATCTGAAGCAGGCTCTAGGCTGCAAGCTGTCAGCATAGAGCCTGAAACGGGGCTCAAACTCACGAACTGTGAGATCACGACCTGAGCTGATATCAGATGCTTAACTGACTGAGCTACCCAGGTGCCCCAATACTGCTCTAATTTTTAATGTCGTAGCTTTTCTACTGTCCTCTACTAATTCAAGCATCAGAAATTCAATGGCATTACCTTAGCCAGGTCAAGTTGACGGACTTTGCTGGACACATTCTCAGCTAGGTTGCAGGTAAAGGTGATCATACCAGCTAGCTGCTTTGCATCTCCTTCAATCAACTGCAGGTTGGGACTGGAGACACATGTCAGCACACACATATCCGCAGGGGGAGAAGGAAGGTGTAAGACATGGAAAATTTTTTGTAGATGAAGACCATGTCTTCTACTGTCTTTCTACCTCCCCATAAATTTTAGTTCAGTTCACTCTACTCACAGCTTTTTCTTTTCCTTTCTTTAAAAGTTTATCTATTTAGCAGTGCCTGGGTGGCACAGTCAGTTACGTATCCAACTTCGGCTCTGGCCATGATTTCATGGTTCGTGAGTTTGAGCCCTGGATTGAGCTCTCTGCTGTCAGCACAGACCCTGCTTCAGATCCTCTGTCTGCCACCGCCACCACCCTCCCCGCCCTGCACTTGTGCTCTTCCTCTCTCAAAATAATTAAATAAATTTAAAAGTTTACCTACTTATTATTTTGAGAGAGAGAGAGAGAGTGTGAACACACACATGTGCATATGTGGAGGAGGGGCAGGCAGAGAGGGAGAGAGAAAGCATCCCAAGCAGGCTTTGTATTGTCAGCACAGAGCCCAACATGGGGTCCAAACCCATGAACCGTGAGATCATGACCTGCGCCAAAGTCAGACGCTTAACTGACTGGGACACCCAGGTGCCCCTATTCACAGCTTTTTCTAAAGAGTATTTTACTGAAAACTCAGGCCAGTATTAAATAAAAAATTACCTTCTATAACTACTAAAGACACCTCTAAATAGGTACTGCTAAAGAACTAGAGAACAGATGGTCCCAACTGCTGAGTATAAATACACTAACCAACAATTAAAGAGCGTGAAGAGGTCAAAGAGCAATTTTAAAACTAGCCAATACACAAAAATTGTAAGAACAATGGTTCTTAAACTTGAACCATACATTAGAATCAGATGGTATGCTTTGTTATGTCAAAAGCTTGTCAGATTCCTGGGCTCCACACCCCGAGTTTCTGGTTCAATAGGTTTTGAGTAGAACCCCATAATTTGCATTTCCAGTAAGTTTCCAAATGAGTTTGGTACTTGTTGGTCTAAGGATACTTTGACCACTTGATTATACCCTTAAGTATTCACTTTACCTTGAAGTCATCCTCCTCTACACTTCAAAATCAACTGGCATTTTATAATAGAAAGTTAGGAAAACAATAACTTATCCAGTGGACCCTGGTGGAATTACAATGGCTCTTGTTAAGATGTAGACTCACCCCATCCGGTGGAGAGTGACCATTTTACTTTCAATGGTGTTTTGCTGTTCCAAAAGAGCATCCAGTTCTCTCTCTACCACTTTCTGAAACACAGACAAGCATTTGGTCATCAGAATGGTTAGAAGGAACTTCAAAGAATTATCTAACTCAACCCTTAGCTGAAGGGTGAATCCCATTCCAAATGTCTTTCCTTACACTAACTTCCCCTAGGACTTTAACAAACTTTCATTTTTGCACTGATCACATTACATAATGGTTACCTTCTGTATATTTCATTCCATCTAGCAGATGAATACCACAAAGGAAGGAAACTTTTATTCAGTATCATTATCTTAGTGCCTAATGCAGGAAGGCATTTAAAATATAATGGCTAAACAAACGAAACTTCTAAATTGGCAGTTACAAAGAGTCTCTTTACAGTGTACAGTCAGTACCTAAAAAGAATAAGTATATAATTCTCTCAACGAAGTTATTTACCGCATAAGTACAACTAATGTAACCTTCTTATGCTTGAGTTTCTTGATCTGTAAAATATAAGAGTATCCCATAGGACTGTTGTGTGAAGCAAATAAGGTCACAAACATAAACTGCTTAAGGTAATATTGTTATTGTGGCATATTGTTCAGTAATAGCCATTATTATCAGCTATACATTTCTATTAAAATAGTTCGGTAGGATCCAGAGGGAAGCTTCCCCTTGACAGTCATCAAATACAAATAGAGAATATTGTTCTGTCTGGAAGATGGATTTAAATTTCCCTTAAAAATAGACTAACTCAAGCTTAGGGATGTTAAAAGTACTGAATTTTACGGAGTGCCTGGGTGGCTCAGTCAGCAGAGACTCTTGGTTTTGGCTCAGGTCATAATCCCAGGGTTTGGGGATGGAGCCCTACATGGAGCCCCATGCTGGGCTAGGCACTGAGTGTGGAGCCTAGTTTATTCTTTCTCTCTCTCCCTGTGCCCCTCTCCCCAACTCATGTACTCTTTCTAAAATTAAATAATAAATTCTTAATACTGAATTTTATAAAGCATATCTTGCTGGGAAATGTTATTACAGACTGCTTGAGTTGGTGCAAGTTAATGTTTGAAAATATTCAAAGATATCAATAATCCCCCCTCCCTCTTGCTGACACTACTGTTTGTACTCAAAATCTTAATTAAAAGTTTAGTTTAGGGGGTGTCTGGGTGGCTCAATTGGTTAAGCCTCTAATTTTGGCTCAGGTCATGATCTCCAGGTTGGTGGGTTCAGAGCCCTCCTTTAGGCTCTATGCTGAGAGCCCCAGCCCCTGCTTTAGATTCTGTGTCTCCCTCTCTCTCTGCTCCTTCCCCGCTCACCCTCTTTCTCTAGCTCTCTCAAAAATAAACATTACAAGTTTGGTTTAGGGAACAGCTACTAAACATTTATTATTAAAAATTAATTAATTTAGAGAGAGAGAGGGAGAGAAAGTGCAAGAGGGGCAGAGGTGGAGAGAGAATCTTAAGTAGGCTCCACCCTAGTCACCACAACCCTGGACCATGACCTGAGCCAAAATCAAGAGTTTGAGGCTCAATTGACTCAGCCACCCAGGCGACCACTACTGAAAGTTTATATCAGAGCTTGGATCTCTTTGTTCTGACTCGCAAGGAACCCAAATAATATTCACAAATACACTGACAGCATCAGGTTGCCACGTACAATGAAGGAGGCTGCAAGGAATCTGCAAGAGAATATAGTCCATTACTCTTATTGGACAGAAAGCAGAGGTCGGAGGAATGAAAGTGACTTGTTCAAGATTAGGCAATTGTGCCTGTCTTAAAACCTCATGCTTCCACAAAGCTGTATACTTACCGAACTAGTTACACCCCCAAAATTTTCCCCACAAAACGTCTTAAAACGTTTCAAGTTTATTTGCAATAACTTCCTCCTTAAATGAGACAACACGGTGGAAACGTTTCATAGGTTTTAAATTGCTAAGTCAACGCAAGGGAGCCTTTATTCTTATTTTGAGAAGGGTTGACCTACGCTGTCAGTCTAACTACTCTGGCAGAAAAACCTAGATTAAGGTCCAGGCAAATAGATGGGGGAGGGGATCAGGAGTGGAGAAGACCGCCCAGATAGCAGGGGAAACAAGCTTAGGGGCATCGGTCCAAGTGAATAGAGACGTCAGGTTCCCCCAAATACACTCAAGTACACTCCTGCTTCTTCAATAAGAGCTTTTTTGTTTCCCTCGGCAGAGGCACAAAGATCTTCCCACAGCCCCATTTCCCAAGACTGACAGTTCCTAAGCCCATTGCCTCTGGCTCAGCCCCCCACCTCCTCGCCGCAGAGCCGTTCGTATACAGCTTCCAGCTCCTGCAGCTCGGTCAGGGAGCGAATGAGCTCGGTGGAGATTTCCGAGCAGCGGCCTCCTCCCATCCCCTCAGGCGGAGAAATCCCTGACAGTTTCTGAGGGGACTCGAGGTCCGCCATCTTGCTCTCCATTGCGCGTTTCCGGCTCTGCGAGGCCCCCTCTTCGTTTGCGCGCCAGGTCTTTTGCGCTGCCCACGAAAATGCCCGATGGACTTACGGTTTATTGTTTTGTTTTTTAAGTCCACTTTAAAAGGTCTATTGTCTTCTGTTCTCCTGGAAAAAGTGACGGCCATAAGGTATGTTTAACTAATTTTCAATCCGGAGTCAAGGAAAGCCAGAAACATTAAAAAAAATTACTTATACATTCTTCAGGCGCCGTTGGGGACTGTTTTACGTCGCGCGCCCGCTCGAAGGTCCCTGCTTTCAGAGCTAATGGCGGAGGCCGGCGGGTTGAAGTTGGCGGTGGCTTAGGCCTTGAAGGAACTCGGCATCTGTTGGATATCTACGCCATCCTTCCTGAGGCAGGGTAAACAAGCAGCCTCCCGACTTCCCCGGGCCTGGGGAGGCATAGAACGGCCCTTTAGGAGGGTTGGCCGAACGTTTGGCAGAGGTCTTTAAAACAGCGTAGGCCCGCAAGGTCCCGGCAAAGGAGGAGGAGGTGGAGGGAAACGCTTGGGTACGGAAACGGCTTTCAGGTATCATTCCCACTTCCTTCTCCAAGGAGGGAACGAAACCTGGATCAAAATAAGACTTATAAAATTGGCCCTTTTTTAGCCCCCTGGGGGAGGTGTAAGATGGGGTAAGAGGGACGTAAAGGACACACGGACTGTAAGGTGGAAAGACCCAGCGTGTTAAAAGCGTAAATAACGGAAACAGTTTTTGGAGCCAAGACCCTATTTTGAACTTGTGTTTTGGTACTTGGGCAACTGCTTGCTTCACTGATTTTCAGTTTTATCATGTATAAAGTGGGAGACAGTAATGTTTATTTCGAAGGCATTGCGGAGTTTAAATGCCATGATGTTCCTTCGGCACAAGAAGAGATGGGGTCAGCAATCACAGGCTTATTAATAATCACAGACAGGAGATAGAAGTGGGGAAAATCACAAAATTTACCAAGTTTTGGCCGTTCTTGGTATATAGTTCTTGTAGTCTTAGAATGAACTCCCTTCAAAGTGCAACTTCTTCCTCTACTTAATACAAAAGAGTAGTTGGGGAGCCTGAATACAAGTAGGCTTGGCGGAAATGAATTCCACAGGCTCTAACGGATGTCATCAGATATGATAGAAACTGGAAACTGAATTGAGTTCTTCAGGAGTTAGAAAGAATGAAGAGTAGGCTGGAGAACTTTTCAAGGCTTTCAGAAGTGGCCTGTACTTTCCTCCTCCCGCCCCCCCCCATAGCAATTCTGTTCTTCTAGTATAGTCAGTGCTGGAGCATGGATCTTGTTGACAACATGATAGGGTTTCATTATTAATTTTGTTGTTGATAACTGCAGTTTTGTGTTTGAAATTTTATAACCACAGAGGATGCCAAGAGAATAAATTTACTTTTGTTTGAGAATCACATTCACTTTTTTCTTTCATTTTTCTCATTTTAAAATATAAGTACGGTTGATCACATTACTTTTCAGGTGAAGACAATTACAGTATATGCTTTGCTTTTTTTCCTCCTGAGACTTTAAGCTGAGAACAACTTTCCCTGTTACTTTCACAATGTATAAGCCCTTCTGGGGATGTGAGTGTATGTCTGTGTCCGTGTCAGTTCATTTTCATTGTTTTTCTTGTAGGTCATTCCCCCACTCCCTTCTTTTTCCACCTCAGAGCTTTTCCTTCTTCTCTACCATCCTAGAAGAACATAAAAGATGTTCCTTAGTTTCAAGAAGGAAAATTTATATCTCTCAGGACCCATTTCTAGAGTGGAGGATTTGATCTTTTTCTCTCTTAACCATTTCTGGGCTGGGCAAAAACCATTTCTGGTACTGTTATTTATGAGGACACTTGCTTATACTTTTCTTGTTTAACAAAATCAAAGTTTTATATTAATTACACAGTGATTACTTTAGATTTTTCAAGTTCTCTTTTGTCTGTAAATAACTGAAAAAAATTTTTCTAGTGATAACTATAGCTGTAGTTTTGGGTCATTTTATGGTAAAGATACATTAGTATGCTTTTGCAGTCTTCAGTACTGTCGAATGAAAAGAATCCATTTCTGTGACTGTATTCTCCTTTAGAGAGGCCTGAAGTGACAGGAATTGAGTTTTTTAGTTTTTGTGAATAGATTTAAATTTTAAATTCTGATTATCAAATATTGAGCTAGATAAGAGATACAAATGGAAACTAAAGTTGCCATTTTTATCTGTTAGATTAACTGAGGTCTGGTTGTGGGGAAATAGGGACTCATGCATTTCCCGGGGTATAGATTGGTAGGTTTTTTGAAAGGTAATTTGGCAATATCTATCCAAATTTCAAATATATGAATCCTTTAGTAGTGCAATATCACTTAGAGGGATTAACATCAAAGATGTATTAATACACATATAAATGACCTATAGAGGAGGGATTTTCTTGGCAGCAATGTTCATAATAACAAGAGGTTGGGAACCTAAATGTTTATCAGTAGGGTATTGGCTAAATGATTCTTTATATACCCTTTCATTGGAATACTCCACAAGTGGAAAATAAAAATGAGAAAGCCTTTTGTTTATTGCTTTCTGTAAGGTAAAGTAATAAAAAGTTGCAGGATAATCTGTACAATATAATTAGAAGAGAAAATAATAGTTTTATTATATTTTTGCTTATACATGGAGAAAATATCTGGAAGGACTTGATACATAAGTTAGTAAAAATAATTTTCCCAGGGAGGAGACCTAGATGGAGCTTTTTGCTGTGCTTGTAAAGAATTTTGAACCAAGTGCATGTATAGCCTATGCAAATACAAACAAATGAACAGCTGCTTAGTTTCTGTGACTATAAAAGCAAATAGTGTTGTATTAATGGTACAGATCCCAGCGTTTTTACCACTTGTTAATGACCTCAGGCAGGTGATTTAATTCTTAACCCCAGTTTCCTCAGTTATATAATTAGTATAACAATGAGTTATTTATAGGTTTCTTGTGAGATTAGAGACACAGTATATAGCATAGTGCTTGTAATAATAGAATGCACTCCAGTTGTAAATACATTGTTTGTCTGTAGGCCTTACTCTGGGTTCTGCCTTCAGCCATAAGATCTTATACAGAAGTGTATGTTAAAGTAAGTTTTCAAGCTGCTATTTTATGTGCTCTTAGCTTGTTTTGACTTGTTATAACAGGCCTGATTGTGGAGTTGTGACTCTCTCAGTGTTGCTGCCACCATGTTTCTATACAACTTGACCTTGCAGCGAGCCACTGGCATCAGCTTTGCCATTCATGGCAATTTCTCTGGTAAGATTTCCAGTTACTATCTTTATGAATTTAACATTTTCAGTATTAACTAGTTTCATGTTTTAAATTCCCTTTTTATTTGTTTTTTAAAATTATTTTTAAATGTTTATTTTTGACAGAGGGAGAGGGAGAGAGAGGAAGGTGTGGGGGAGGGGCAGAGAGAAAGGGAGACAGAGGATCCAAAGCAGGCTCTGCGCTGAGAGTGGACAGCCTGACATGGGGCTTGAACTCACAAAACAGGAGATCATGACCTGAGCCTAAGTTGGACCTTAAATGACTGAGCCACACAGGCAACCCTCAAATTTTTTCTTAAAATAAATTACAGAAAAAAATGTTCTTAAATCCTTAGACAACATCATTTATATAATGCTTTATAGTCTCTTAAACAGTTTGAAGTACTTGATCTTGTCTGATCCCCAAAGGACCTTTGGAAAGTACGGTGTTCTGATAAGTGATGTCCTTGAACAAATGAGAATGGAGCAAATAGGATGGATAGAAAGCCATCTAGGCCTTAGTGAAGACCTGTATGAGGGCAGTGGGGACAGATATAAAGAGAAGGATATGAGTTTCTAGCCTGGGTGGCAGAGAAGAATGACAGTAACATTGATAGCAGGTTAGTTGGGACCAGAGAGGAGTTTTGGGAAGAAGAAATTTATTTATTTTATATTATGTTTATTTATTTTGAGAGAGTGTGCTTGTGTTGCAGGGCGGGGAGGGGCAGAGAGAGGGAGAGAAAACATCCCAAGCAGGTTCTGTGCTATCAGTTGCAGAGCCTGATGCAGGGCTCAATCCCAAGAACAGTGAGATCACGACCTGAGCTGAAATCAAGAGTTGGATGCTTAACCAAAGCCATCCTGGTGCACCAGAAACTTAGTTATTTTAAACATTCAGTTAAAAGTTGATGACAGTATATCCAAGTGGAATTATGTAGCAGGCAGGGAGAGATGGGGGCACATTGGCTGTTAAGCGTTTGGAAGTGTTGATTGTGGTTGTGAAAGCAAGGTAACTTCTAGGGGTGAGTTTAGAAATAAAGGGTATATATTAGATGGCAGTTTTAAAAGTTCTTTGAGGTGTCTGGATGGCTCAGTTGGTTAAGTGTCCAACTCTTCGTTTTGGCTGGGTCATGATCCCATGACGATTGAGGCCTGCATCGGGCTCCATGCGAAGCATGGTTCTGCCAAGCTTAAGTTTCTGCCTCTGCCCCCTCACCCCCATCTTGCACACATTCTGTCTCTCTCTGGAAAAAAAAAAGTTTTACTTTGAAACCACTTTTGTTAAATCATACCAATTCTAGGAATGAAATAGAATAAGAAAACTTAAAATACCAAGCCCCCACCTTACTTAATTTTGTCTTGAATGGCATTTTGATCCATCCAGGTTCCTTTTTGGACTAGTCCTGATTGTGATCTTTATTGTTTTGGGGATCTAGGAACCAAACAACAGGAAATTGTTGTTTCCCGTGGGAAGATACTGGAGCTGCTTCGTCCTGACCCCAACACTGGCAAAGTGCACACTCTACTAACTGTGGAAGTATTTGGTGTTATCCGGTCACTCATGGCCTTTAGGCTGACTGGTGGCACCAAAGACTACATTGTGGTTGGCAGTGACTCAGGTCGGATTGTTATCCTGGAATACCAGCCATCTAAGAATATGTTTGAGAAAATTCACCAAGAAACCTTTGGCAAGAGTGGATGTCGCCGCATTGTTCCTGGCCAGTTCTTAGCTGTGG